ATCTCTACCATGCCCTTAATCTTTGTAAGCCTGACCTGCCCCTAGCAAAAACTTTTTCCCCTTTCTCAATTTTCTATTTTCTTTCGTCCACACTTTCTCTACTTCCTTTCATGAATATTCATCTTTCGGGATTGCTAAAGGACATTTCATGGGCTTTCCTCTAGTTAATTTTATAGTATATTTTTTTGATTAGCCACATTCTAAGAAGAAAAAATTACGTAAGATATTTCTGATGCAAATTTAAAAAAATATAATGTGATAAAAATACAACATATTTGTCAAATAATTATAAAAGTATCAGTATTTTATACTATAAAATTAATGGCACTAAAACACATTTTCATTCTAAAACAATATATATTAGATAATCTCTTTTTTTATCACATTTCCTTATCTTTTTTGTCATTTTTCTTCCCCTCCCGATGTAAATTTGTATCATTAACTTCTTCTTCTTGTTTTTTTACATTTAGGTCAATTAAGACAAATTCAGACACACATCACATACTCAGTCTCGAATCCAAGACCTCTTGGTTGAAAGCCAAAGCTCCTAACAAATAAATCAAAGTGAGTTGCGTATAACTTCTTTCAGTTATTGGAGTCCAGAAATCAAAAGTGGTCTGATCCATCACTAGCCATCGAGTAAGTGCTCGTTAGTGGAACCAAACACAGACCTCGGCTTCTTAGATCTTGTGTAGACTCTTCTTCATCCATGGACTTTTCTGACTTCTGCTTAAAACAAGTCAGGCCAATAGAGTCATTTTATAATAATAAGTATATAAGCTTCATATATATTATTCAAATGTGAAATGCATGAATGCGAATTCTCTATATAAACTGGGATCGATCTACCTTCTCTTGCTGTGTGGGACGCAAATTCCTCAAATATGGAGTGCATAAGACCTAAACCCACGCAAAAGTTAATCTGTGAATATGAAGATGGCAGTAGTAATATTCTTTTTGGAACAAAGATGGCAGACTTACACTAACTTGTTCATGAAGGAATTTAATGTATTCAATGGTATCGTGCAGTACAGAGGCAGTAGCGGTCTGTGAAAGTAGAGGGACAACAGTAAGAAACTGAATAATGAGCAATTTATATTCATTAATTAAGAAGTTTTTTATATGAATATATAAACCTTTCCAAATGGTGAAACCAGCTGCTGGAGAGCAGTGATTCTGTCCCCTATTTTTTCTTTCCTCACCTGCAAACAGAAATAATATTCTAAACGCTCTCACCATATGTTTTTTCAGAAATTAAAGCAAAAAAAAAAACACTGATAAGAATAGCCACTCCAGAAAAATCACACATTACCGGTTAGGGGTGTCAATTTTTGACACGACCCGAACCCGTCAACCGAACCCGAAACGGGTCGGGTTCGGGTTCAACAAATCAACCCGTTTTTAAAATCGGGTCGGGTTCGGGTTGACCCAACAAACCAAAATTGATACGAAAACTCCGATTTGACCCGAAAACCCGAGATTGACCCATTTTTGACCTGAAAATCGAAGATTGACCTGATTTTGACCCAAAAAACTAGCAATTTTAGGTCAACTTCGAGTCATTCGTGTCGGGTCGAGTTGACCCGGACCCGAATCGGGTCGGGATCGGGTCCGGAAACCTGACCCTTTTAAAAGCGGGTTGGGTTCGGGTTGACCCGAATAGTGTCGGGTCAGCTATTATTGGTGGTCTATTTTCCGACTGCCTTCTAGCAATTTACGACGAAATATACCCGATTTTTTTTTTGCAGATTTTTTAGCGTTTCTTCGATGGCGTTTCCAATGACTTTTCCTTATTACTTTTTAAATAAAAAAATGTGAATATTTTAACATTTTTACCCTAATATTCACATTTTTACCCTTCCAGCAAAGTGGTTGGGACTTTGAAGCATACTCACTTTGAATCCCATAGGATGCGGGCAGCGGGGTGGCTTAGTTTTTTTTTTTAAGTAAACTGTTTGAAATATTTGCCATTGGAAA